TTTTTTTATTCCTAGCACATTCCAAAGGCTGAAACTAAAGACTTGGCAGACCACAAGGGCGTCGGAGGGGGAAACTCCTGCACAAATAGCGCAGAACAGGAAAAAACGGCGACAAACTTTCGACGCAAGTTGGAATCGTTAAAATCATACATCCACACAAAGACTGAGCGTTGAGGATTTAACAGATGTCCTTAGGTGTGTGTAGATCGTTCAGAAGGAATAAAAAAATACTTTGCTGTGCTCTCTAAGCATTTACGATGGTCAATGCTATTCCGTCTTTGCTGCTATTCTGTTACTTGCGCATAAACAATGACAATCGGATGGTGTGATTTCCAGATTGCACGAGAACTGCAGAAAGTCAAGCAAGTATGCTTCATGTGATGAATATTTTCCCCATTTCAATTGCCTACAACCAACTGCAAATTATGAAGCAGCGGATTAAGCCGACAGCGACGTAGTGGTGGTTTAGCCTTACCGACGAACGCGAAGGGCAAGAAGCCATAGGTGAAACAGACCGTGGGAACGCCTTTTAGTGGGAAGGAACAATATATCTGTCACAAAGAATCACGCCGCGTGACAGCAGTCTGTTAGGCGCGTAACCATGTAAGGCAGCGAGGCATTCAGTACAGTTCAATAAAGCCGTTTTGAAGGCAAATTAATACGGTTATCTGTCAGTAGCCCTATGATTTACCGACTGCACTAACATAAGGATTAACTCCCGAGGAATAGCCATTACTTAGGAGAGTTCGAACAAAACAGACGCCTGCGAAACTCCCCACCCATTGTTGCCAAGGCGGACGTCTTAAATAGGTCTGAGTATCGACTGTGTGGAGACTCGTAATATACCGTCTATCTGTGCCTCAGATTCTAGCTGTGACTCTTCCTAAAATTGTTCCAGCCATTATTGGGGACATATCCAGACTCCGAAAGTACCACTAAACACGGTTGGCTTCCTCTGACCGTTCGCCACTTAAACCCACAAACGGACAAGGGGGAACTGGGTGGGCAACAAGCAGTGACACAGATGAACAAATTTTACCATGGGCAGAAGGCAAATTCTGTGTATGAAGGCCCCAGCCGTCGGCAATCGTCTTTTCAAAAGAATCCAGTATTTCCAAAACTTCATTCACTAGAAAAGGAGTAAAAATAGCATTAAGTAGCACCTACAAGCGTTGGCGAAAAAGATTCGATCGAACTGACGACAAGTACAAAATCATCTAATAACAAAAACGTCATATTTCCAGACACAGACGTCCGATATCTGCGCATATGCACGACGAAAAATCGATCTAACTGCGTAGTCAATGACTTTTGACAAGTTGCATCGGCTATTCGAATCGATAAACGACTTGCGACATTTCCTGTTCACTATTTCATGCTGTGAGGTAAGAATAGAATGAAATTCTAACCTCAGTCCGTGTAAAGACATTGGTAATTCACTTTGAAAACAATCAATCCTGGAAACAGAAGAGCCAAGTGCAGTCGGGTCTTGATGTAAGACGTATCCGTAGCTCAGGAGGCAAAAAGGATTGGCCTTTCAGAGACAGGGCTCAGTTTTTTCGTCCCTTCAAGGAACGATGGTCAGTGAAAAGCCCATCTTTTTAGATAAAAGTAGGAGAGAGGGGCATTCAAACCCACTGATTAAGCCATAACCCTTCCGAAACACACATTAAGACCGTGGTTGTTTGAGGACTGGAAAAAAAGCCAAACATCCTAGATAAGACTTTGTCGGCATCCATTAGTTCTTTATGTACCTGCCACAAGGGATATGGGGAGGTAAAAGTAAATGAACGCACTTTGCACTCACAGTGGTCATTTCTCTAGTAAGTACTTCAAACAATGGGAAACGAAAGACGAGCAATTCAAAACAAAACAGGGAGTATGAATGATGGCCATACAGGAGGCCTGACGAGTAGATTTCGAAAAAGGCATGTCTTAGCGAAGAATTTAGGGTGCAGATTTAATCAAGGTCAGCGACCAACTTTAAGATCACTGTCGTAAAGGTTGCATAGGGCAGCGACCATGCCTGACGTTACTAAACTACCACTCTCTTCACTAAAAACAGCTTTTAAGTCTAATCAGCCTTTGATGGCAGTCATGATGAAACTACACTAATAAGTTGAAATTCGATTTGAAAAACCAAGCATTTTGGGTACGAAATGAGAAAAACGAGAACTTTGACGGTCAATATGGAAGTTTGAACATGACAGAGTTCGGCATTCTTGGCAAGACCCAAGACCGGCATTAGGAGTCAATCTGCGACAATCACTCACAAATTTAACCTCATCCACGGGATTATATAAAAAGACCTGTCCAGTGACGTGCTTGACAGGCTCTTTAAACCTTCCTTAATAAAGGTCACATAATTGGTGTCATGTTGCCTATGGACATGACCAGACTTTACATGTTAAAGACGTATACCCTTGGATGCAGCGTTAAGTTCCTGGAAGAGAACAGTCTTGTGGTAAATTAACAGGCAGAGGTGATAACAAGCATTTTTGCTGTGGGTCTTCAACGTAAAGTTCCTTCTGACATTAGACGATTCTCGGAGGACTCCATAGGAGCTGACGGTCCCACCTCCTGCCGGGACGCAAAAACTAGAGGTAGTGTCTGGACGAGGAGAGTCAAACAGAGAGACTCAAATGTGCCGGTTACCATAAGGATTCGGAGCACACACGTTAGAAATGAAAAGAGGACTGAGTGATGCCTACGAGGCTACGCCAAGCCAACTCCGATGCCAGTGTTAAGGCGCGCAGTCAGGCCACCACCATTGGCATACACTTGCCGCCAAACCCTAAAAAACTTGTCAATTCGTGCCAGCCATATAATTTGGCGACTATCGTACTTTCTGTCTTCGATAACGGACAGATGACCCAAAAGATCCGCAACGCCAAATAGAAATGACGGCTACTGCGCCCTTCCACCCTACTAATAGCAGTGGTTTATTTGGGTGCAGCATAAAAAATCGTCAGCAACATTTCCAATCGACTGCAATCTGTCAGTACTTGTCCACATGATTGACCGTTAGGTCCTTGATTGCCGCACAGAATAACGTAGTGGTGAGATTCACAAGAGTGGTTTAGCCTAAAATACTGTAGAAGACCAGTTACTTGGAAAAGGGGGATAGTTGAAATGGCCCACCGGAGAAGGGTTTCCCACAACCGCTTGAGAATTACGGATATGTGGACGAACGAACGCCTTAGGGGTTGGTACACTCACAAATCATGACTTTTTGGATTTTCTTTCTTAGTTTAAAACTCAACAAGCACAGAGCAGCTGAGAAAACATGGGAATAAGTTAGAAAATGCAAACATGAACAAACCGTACTTCTCATGGAAGGACAATATAGTCAGTCTTTTAGACTCGGCCAATACAATTGGCCCACGACCGTCTTCGTGGACTTCTTGGCCTAAGGCTTTCCATTACGAGAAAGCGTAGAACAAAGCGACTCGTCTAATGAATGTAAGTTTGCAGTAAGGCAGCTGTTGGTGACCCCCCCCCCCCCCTTCCTCCCGTGTCATCTCTGTATAAACAGTAGAAAAAGCTCGACCGGAAGGTCACTTTAGGGGGTGTGTACTTCTTAGCCTCTGCCAATCAAGTTCCTAAGAAAATATCCGTTTGCTAGATCTCCCACATCTGGCTCTTTAAGTAAATCCAAACCACTCAGAGAAGAGTAGGGTCATAAGAAGGTGAATTACATTTTTGATTATTTGCGGAGGCTCGAACTTCATCCGAAAGAACCTTGCATGACTCCAAGGCACCACGGAGTGTAAGGGCCAGTTTTGTGAACTTAGGCGCCTCCATGGAGATCCAAATCGGCTTGACAGACCTCTCCTTTAGGTCATGAGTTGACACGGGAGAAGCACCACCGTTAGTGAGATGTAAAGGATCATCCGGCCAAACTTGACTTACAGCCGTCCTGTCCACAGCGCCAAAGATGCGTAACAAGCGAAGGATGAAAGCAGCTAGACAGTATGCCTGATGAACTCTCGAAATCAAATGGGGCGAGGAAGCAACGAGGGGGGAAGCGCAGTCGGTTTGATTGAAAGCTCCGATCAGCTCGCGCAAAACATGCATGACCCGTCGAGTATCAACAGAGTCTGGAAAAGAAGAAAGATTCAGATCAACTGTCAGGAGTAAAAGAGCATTAACTGAAGGTGAGGGCTAGGTCTCTCCCGAAACCTAAGAGCTCCACATCTAACCAGCACTGAGACAAACAGAGATAAAAGTTAGTAAACGCGTTTTGCCCCCTGTTTTGTCTTTTGATACTGTCAATTTAAACCACGCTCACACGAACCTCGTAAAAGCGTTTTACGCTTTGAAGATGTAGTCAATAATCATAAACAGGCCTTGAAATGACTGTTTACAGGGGAGTAACCGCATGAAAACTTGCGTACTTTTTCGACTGCCACTTGCTGTATTTTCAAGGACTCTTTCAACGATATATGATGTTTGAAAATAGTTCTATTAAGAACAATGCTGCGCAGAATGTTTGGGTGATTTGAGGTAAGTTAACTGCAATACAGCCTCCAAATATTATTCGGCAAACATACTTCTGAACCACTTTCGAAGAAAAACTGTGATCAAAAAACGGGGCATGTAGTCAAACATTTTACTAAAAAGGGACCGGGCAAATTATTGGTAGCAGAATATCGTCATCAAAAATAGATTTGGAGGTCCACTGCGCAGCCTACGGACTCCGGTACAAGCGGCTTATAAGTTTGAAATGAAGTAAAACGATATAACACAAAAATAAAGGAATAAATCTGCCCAAAAGGCGTGTACAAATTACCCAAAGTGATGACTGCAGCAGTGGGTTTCAAAAATTACGACTGAGGCAAAATGGAATGGGCATGTGCGAAAAACATTTTGCCTGGATTTATTTAGGAAGTCCGGTACACCTCGAGGGGGCACCAAAATAAAACCTACGAAATGGCCTATGCAATAATTTTACTGATGAAGGCTTTAGACTACAGAAAAGTGGAATGTTCGGTCCTAAGAAAAAAATGCAGTCAACACAAACCAACACTTCAAAGGTTCGTTTACAGTGATAAGCCCGTGACGAGCTAACCGTCACTGTCAACGCGTATCCAAGGCCGGCGTTGATCATGCTGGAAACCTTCAAGCTTGGCCCAATGTCAACACCAGCAACTAACCCCCCACATAGTCTATCAACACCACCACCGCCATCTATCGCTAACAGCAATCTAGGTTGTGTCAATCTGATCATAGTGCGACCGCAAATTTCAAACATACGTTGGCCTGGGCGGTCACCCGTGGACCTATTACAGTGCCCTGAGCCCCAACCAACACTTCATAAAAAACTTACTAGTCCATATTGTGCCAGGACATTCAGACACCCTATTTATTTGCTCGGCAGTTTGTGGATACATAGAAATGCCCAGCATGGCAGCACAGCCCCACTTTCCATCTACCTACACACAAACACACTTGGATTATGTATGGCAACTCGACTGTCGTGACCCAGAAGGTTCACCGTGTGCTCCACAACAGGGTGAAAGCAGTGACGATGACTTGCGTTTGGTTTCTCTTATGGCTGTGGTATACCTGCGCGGCGTCTACCGCACTCTCCACTTGAGTGCGGTGTCAATAGAGTAAAGATGACCGGAGGCGGTGGCTGGCACGCGAAAATACGCACTTAGCAGTACCACTACACCCCTGGTTCACAACACACACTGACTCAGGATTTCACACAAAAGAGGGGAGCGACTCAGACCCTAACTGGCGCGGCGTGGACCTCCAACTGGGCCTGACACCACACGCCCAATGTTGGATTTGGTATGGGGCGCATTCCCAATAACTTTTGTCGGGCCCCGATCTAGGGGCAGAACGCACACACTCCACTTCATAACCTCACTTGAAAATAGAAGAGTAGAGTCGTATACGAGAGCTTAACGAAGTGCTGCCTGATAGTACGATGCATTTGTTAGGTAGGAGGTAGAACTTAGTAATGAATTAGTGTACAATAAACGGATACTTGTGCGAGTCTGGAAAAGGAGGAGTACGAATATTCCAGAGTTAACTGCTAAACGCACAGGCCAACGAATGAACTGTAATTTGGTGGGGACGTGAGATAGGGAGAGAATGCGCACTAAGTGGTTAATAATGAATTATCAAAGCAAAAACGAGGAGGAACATTACACCGAATTTTAAAGCCACATTATGCACTAGGTGTCACTGGGGAGGATACCTCGTGTCATTAACCCTTCTTCAAGACCAGTGACCTCAGGCAGTCGGCAAAAAGGACTGTGAGAAGAAGCGACTGAAAGAAAAGTATGCAAAGTCGACGCATCGGATAAAGTCAGCATATGAAGAGATTACGCCGACTTTCGTATCCTCCCCCAGGTTTGTGGAGTTTATCTGCGTTAGTAAAATTATAAGCACGGACAGACCGTTGGACGACAATCACAGAATGGGTGATAGTGGTGCCAGGTGCAATTGATGTCCATCGAGTCGACCGGCTGCCATGCAGGAAGGTGAAATAAGTATCCGGAAATTAAACGGGAATTTCGACGTCCCGCGTAGCACGGCCGGGGCCGGACTATGCGTAAACCTATTAAGCCTGACGCATATACATGCCAACTATTAGCACAACACTCATGCAGAAAGCATGCGATGAAACTTGTCAGGAGGGTTATAGTAGAGTATTCGTCGGGACGGTCTTAATACCGAACTTAACGTGCATAAACTGTGCTCACGCCAGAATGGGTAATGATGGGAGTTTCTTATGAATTTACTCCCTACCGGAAGAGTTTACAAAAACTGAAGAACGCACACTTGAGCCCCTAAGGACTGTTTGAATGAAATTGCTGGGATGGGAGCTGAAGTTCTTATTCGTCAGAGCATGTACTTTGTGCGGCTGTGATAATGCCTGATGAAGCCAGCTTCGATGATGCCACGTATTGTATCTCTCCACGCGTGAAGATTCGGGACAGTGGACCTAGAAAGGTCTACTCATTTTCTTCTCCGGTGACAGGGGCAGAATACCGAAGGTCTAAAAACCGCTCCCATGTCTCGACTAACCGTAACGAGTCAGGTCTTGGGTTTACCTCCTCTTCGACGCCTGCGGGTGGACAATGGCGACGGATCGAGGACAGCAACACTGAGTTTGTGAGGTGGACGACGGAGAACATGCCCAAACCACCTCAGTCACCTTTCCAGGATGGCCTGGACTATCCTTACGATGTTGTCGCAGCGAGCGCGAACTGTCTCATTTGAGATGAAGTCGGTGTACTTCACTCGAAGGATTGTCTTCAAGCAGCGATGATCAGATAGTTCCACTTTTAGCTCATCTACGCGCACAACCCATCATTCACCATCGTGTTGTAGGACGGGCCGGACGTACGCACGGTACACGCGGATTTTCGCAGCCATGGAGATGCCGAGTCGGGTCCGTAAACGCTTTTTAAAGGTTGTGAAAATCCTGAGAAATATCGGTTCGGAAACGATGTCGTCCGTGCTCTATCCATTCGACAACAACCCCGCCTCGAGGTAATTGGAACTGTCTAATTCTTCGAATGGGCAGTCGTTAATACCGAGGGGTACCTTTTTTCCCGGTCAGGGATGCGGTTTGAAAACAATTTTGTCTTTCCAGCATTTGTGGGTAAACCGACAGAAGTAGCGACTTCATTCGCCCATGGGTAACAGGGCGATATTGTCAGCGTAGTCTAGATCAGTCAGCCGGCGTCCTGGTTCAAACTGCGCACCGTCAAAACCGTATGGGGCCCTTTTGAGAATCCAGTCGATGGCGCCGTTGAACAGACTGGGCGACAGGTAGCACACTTGTCCAACACCAGATCGGGTATTGGACGGCTGAGAGATGTCTTTATGGATGAGAACTCGCGCAGTTGTGGAACGATTGTCAGAGCATGTGCAACAGCGGCATGTAAATTACGTTTAAAAAGCGTAAGAGATGCGTGCAAACAAAAAGCTCATTCCTAACCACATAGGGCGTCGTAGATCTCTTTCTCAGCACTGACAAGGGCTTTAGAAAGGTCATCAGCAGCGGGCAAGGGTCCGTTGACAGATTTCTCGTTGGACATCAGGCGGACGGCGTGGGTGACGTTGAAAAGGAAGTCCTGAGGGAGAAAGAACGGGTCGAGGTCATGCGAGGATAAGTTCTAAAATTCCAAGTCTTTGAACTGCCATGAGAAGAAACATATATCAGCAGCTAGGGCTAACTGGTGTCTGAAGGTGAATCAACATTCAAAATACGGTGGGTTCCGACCCATAAGTCCAAGCAGGAAGATTTATAGTATATTGTCTAACTGGCAACATTAAAGGTCTGAAAAGAGCAACCTCTGACAACCTGGTTTCAGGCTGCCCAGCAGGTCCATGGATGGCAGAGCGAGGAATGATCTTCGGTAGAGACTGGCTACGAAATCAGTGTTCCTACTCTGGCGAATAACTAGTCGTTGACCAGTATTATCAGCGCCATGATATGACGGGCCGACATTCTCAAGGGGTACTCTAAGGCTTTGTGACAGCACGACGATTGTGAACAAAGAGTAAGTATGTCTCTGTTTTACACTTAGGTTCCAACAGGCCAAAGCATTAGAAGAACCGGCTTTAAAAAACCTGGCGACTGTTGCAGATCCGTCTACACCACAAATTCTTAAGGGGACCTGATAAAACAATCGCTTGGACGTGGTACCTTCATCCAAGCTACGGCTTTCCGGAAAAACGAAATACACCGCAATTTGGATCTATTGAGAACAGTGAGTAATAGGAGAGCTGGACCACTTACAGAGTAGTGGACCCTTGGTACGGGATGCAGGAATATGCAAACGTCCCTGGATTCTGGTAGCCTAAGTGCAAGAATGCACAGCTATAGCTCATGCAGTGTATCTGTAACCTGTCCGACGTCCTAATCCCAGACTCGGGTTCTGGAAAACCAAGAACTCGCAGCTAGTACGGACCCTCTGGCAACATAGTGTTGCGACCACCCACTAAGCACGGCTGAGTCAAGTCCTGTCTGTGTGGGGGCCAAACAACGACCAGATCGCATACGTAGGACTTAAATGGTACTTTATTAACATCGCCGTTGCCCATGTCCACGTCCGCCGCCCCCTTTACTTAACTAACTCATTCAGTGGATTCTTAAGTGTTGTGGACGATGTCGGACCTGCACCAAGACGCAGGATCACCCGCCTTGACTATGCTGATGATACTGTATTGCTAGTATGAAACTATGATCACAAAATATAAGTGTCATGGGTGAACGAAGGACGCTAAATTTGCTAGTTCATCCATCTACGCTGCCAAAACCAATGCACTCTCGAACTGCATGCCCGACCAGGAGTGGCCAATTCTGTGGACCAGCAGTGATATCTTAATGATCATAAGGGTCCAGTGTACTGAACACCCAACAGGCCGATTCTCCGCCACAGTAGTGAATGTGGGACCTTGGTGACGACGTACAAAAATATACTTTTTCAGACACTGTTTCATGACGGCGAACCTCTGTGTAAAGTAATCAAGTTATATCTATAATGTGAAAGCCCAAACTCATTGCAATAACACGGCGCGGATATCCCGTGTCAACATAGGAAGACGTCTGAATGGTAAGGGTTGTTCTGGGTCGTCCGGCCCGTGACTTTAACGTTGCATTAAGTAAACATTGCTGCCAAACGTGAGATGGCCACGGATTCTGCTCAAAACCTGGCTCGACAAGGTCTATGAAGACATTAAAGTGGTCCTTGATCTTTCAAATCGGGCCTCTTTCAGTGGAGAAGAGTGGATCGAGCATTCTCCACGGCCCCACCGCAGTTGCCGACAGCCCTGCATTGCCCACTGGTTATCTAGCTGGCATGTTCGTATCACCCCCTCATCCAGACGGATTATCCCTCCTGCTGTAAATCTCATCCCCTTTTGTATTATTTAACATTTTCCGATGTGTCGATCCCGCCGTTCTTAGTATACATATTTCGTACCATTTGACTGTTCCTACCCTCAGCTTGGATGCGATCGATGACCCGTTTAACAATTCTCTTCAGACCAGCATTAGCCAATAGTAGCGAATAGAAATCCGCGTGAGGTCATAAAGAAAATTTTGCGTGCATATTTTCGGTAAAGGGCCTGGTAACTGAGCTGGAGGCAGAGTGGCCAATGAGCTTTCGGTAAGGCTGTCAAGGTCCCACATGCTAAACCCCTTTTAGCACTATTGTCGTGTCAGAGACGGTCTTGTGTCAAAGTGCTTGGGGGGTGTGAAAATTCATATTCTATTAAGTTATATATCCTTTTTGCCTCGTATTTATGGATTGAGAAAGATGAGGGTATTTCGAAAGGTAAAGAACCCCATATCAGATATAAACTTAATGGTAGTTCATTAATCGTAAGTTAAATCAGAGCTAATAACAAAATGGCAATTTACGGGGAAAACCAAGACCCGCTATCGTTTGCGAATATCACTCGTCCGACAAATCAAAGGCGCCCAGACGTGTTGGCACAGCAAGGTAAGGGGAACTGTCAGACACCTAGGTTTTCTCGTAACAGACTCCTGACAGATGCGCAACTAACAGAAGCGAAGAGGCGAGTTCCAGGAAGTAGTCGCGAAGGAGACAGGATCGCTGGAACAAGAGCTTTATTAGCCTGACGTTTCGGATCCTCACTCGAATCCATCATCAGAGACAGAGTCAGATAAGGGTAGTAAATTGCTTAGGTGTAATTCAGCAACCTTGTCTTCCTGTTTACTGCAGTGCAGGTACTGAGCTACAACAGCAACCACCCAATCAGTTACAAACGCAGTTGCGTAAGGATACTATACCAGCGTGTGGAGACAAACTACAGTGAACCGGAAGACAATGTTGCTGAATTACAATACCTTCGACGAGTATTCAAAGCCAGTGGCTACCCGCGCTACTTCCTTAACCAGTGCCCGCGCAAACGAGACGAGAGACGAAATCCAGCCGGTCCCTAATTTTGGCGAGCTCTCCCGAACTCAGAAGCCGTCAGCCGCCCTTGGGAATCGGAGTAGCACACAGACCGGAGGCAACCATAAGGCGCCAGATCATGAGGCCGAAAGACCCATTGCCACAGCAAGAAACATCTGGTGCCGTTTGGCGTGTCTGGTGCAGCTGTGGGCAAAGCAACTATGTCGGCGAAACCGGAAGACTACTGCGAACGCGTGTGGCCGAGCACGCAGCAGCGGTGAGGAGGAAAGACGTCAGCTCTCAAGTCGCGGCTCACTAGACGGGACCTAACCACCCATTCAAAATTGACGAAGCAGAAATTCCTGCTAGAGGTGACAACCGCGTGAGCCGCCAACTGCTCAAGTCATGGCTTCCCGGTCCTCAGTCAATCAGCAAGCACAACGACCTCCCCGCTCCATATTCGGCGCTGCAAAGTAGTTAGCCGCGAGGACAGCGTGCGTATGACCACCGTTCCTGGTGTCAATATCGGCGAGCCAAATTGCCTAACAGTCCACACGGATGACGAAATCCGACCGTCAGCAACTCGACTGCGTGCGATGAATGTGGGAATCAATAATCTTGACCGGCAAACAAGCGCATGGAAACTGCACGGTAGTTGCGTGCTTCAACACCTGGCCAGTCGAGCTGTGATGCGCTCGGGAGCTGCCAGCTGCGACAGGCATGTAGCGGCCTAGCAACCACATTCTATAAATGCTGCAATACCTGGGCAATCCACCACCCTTATCTGACTCTGTCACTGATGATGGATTCGAGTGAGAATCCGAAACGTCAGGCTAACAAAGCTCTTGTCCCAACGATCGTATCTCCGTCTTCGAGATGCGCATCTGCATGAAGCCGAGTTTTCCCGATCAAATACCTTTCCTGCTGTTAGGGAACTCCTACTGTCTGTCTGGAGGAGCACCGAAGAAAAAATGTGGCCTTCCACAGATCATGATATGTGGAATCAGACGCTTACGGTGACAGTCTTATCGAAGGCGAGGGCCTGGCTCATGGTGTCCGCACTGTAGTCGAGGGTATCCCGCCAACTATGCAACAGGAAAGCGAATCGTAGTTGCCGTGATGAGTGCTTTTCCAGGGCTTTTCGAATTGTCACAAAATTTTTCAGAGACTTCGACATCTTGCAGCCGCTGATCGTCAAGTGTCCAGCATGTAGGAAGTAATTAACCCAGTGGGAGTGGCCGAAATAAGCCTAAAGCAATAAGAAAACATAGTTAGAGGAGGTAGCGTAAAAAATTAATCGCACTTGTGACGCATGAAGATTTTGTATTGAGGAACGTGGAGTAGGTAGTCTGGCTTATGTATAAATGGCAACAAAAATGGACAAATAAACATCACAAAAGAAAACTGACTACCTCGGCGCGATCTAAAGCAAAAAATGAGTGATAGGAAGGAGGAGCAGGCTTAATTATGGAAATCAGCGTCTTTACCGGTAGCGAACGGTGGAAGTGATCATTATGATGATAAGACAGAAAAAATGAAGGGGACGGCAATGTGGAATAAGACAAAGAAGCGATCCGATGTGCAGCACCGAAAAGAGGTTAAATGACAAAGGTGAAAATAAAAGTCCACGAGTACCTCCGACTGTGCCAGTTCGTTGTCATGATGAGGAAATTTAAGGTCAAAGCCGCCGGTATGGATATCGATGGTGTCACCGAGAGTGTCGCTGGCCATTACGGAACATTCAATGTGCCAGCCGGGTCTGCCTTTACCCCATGGGCTAGGCCAAGATGGTTCACCCGGTTTTGAGGCCTTCCATAGGGCAAAGTCGCTGAAGGTTCGCTTTTCAGAGCCCGTAGAAAGGTCTCCCTCTCCAGAGGCAAGCTTATCAGCATCCCCATAAGCGGAAGGCATCAGCTTGGCATAAAAGTGACCTTCTGTGTCAGCAAACCGCTTTGTGTCGAAGTAAACAGATCCAGATTCAACAACATAACTGAAAAAGGAGAGATCAAACAACATCAAGGCAACATCTGGCATGTTTCTGACCGACTGCATAAAATTCAGGATATGTTTTACCTAGGATGTAGAATTGCTTACACGGGAACTCAATCGTGAACACGTTGAAATAATGTTGCATTACCTAGTTTGTCAACTTTAGGATGTCACGACTTTCAGTATACACAGTGGTTTACATTAATGGTGTCCAAGGTCCGATTCGAATGTTCAGGAGTCGCCTAAACCAAGATTGCCTGGTTGCCTCAGGGCGTAGCTTAGGATGCCAAGACCTACTCTCCGGCTTAACTCGATGTGGCAGTCGTGGAGGACGTCCATCGTGTGCTCCATGGCGTGGGGGTGCAGGACGGTGGCCTGCACGTCGATGAGATTTTCTTGAGGCAGTGTTGTGCAGAAGTTGCCACATACTCTCCTCCCTAACCCCCCTTCTCGATAGTATGACAATGCCAAGACACCCGCAGGTGGACGCGGATGCAAAGACTGACAGAGCTAAGCAGCAACTCTGCGCTTGCCACACACCACCTAGTCACCGTTACATGCACGAAGCCATTGTAAGGGTGGCTCAGATCTCATACTAGTGAGATGACATTATAGATCACACTAAGGACAAACCAGTGGGCTTGACTCTCGGTCCTCCACTCACTCCAAAACACTCCCGGGACGAACGAGTTAGCCCATTAGTTGGCAACTTCCCAAGCCATGACTCTTAGCATACCGCGATAGATTCAAGCAAGTCAGATTTATTTTAGTACCGTTGGGGTGGATTCCCCAGTGTCGGCGTCACTCTCCTTCTCCCATGCACCTGTAGACTGTCCGAGTCCATCAACCAGTTGGTGATGGCGGACAGAGCTTGAAAGCCCGTCTGTGTGTGCCACACCTGGTCACCACTTCATGTACCAGCAAACACCAACAGCATTCTTTCCATTCACGTGAAATGTGCTTGCTCTCGCATGTGGTGTTCTAACCGCCGTACTGGCGATGGTGAAGCCGGTCACATGCATGTTGTCGAGACGTGGTACGATGTGACAAGGGAGGCGTGTGGTGTGGAATGGGTTCATGTGTGGTCAAGGGGTGCGTGTGCCGGTGGGACAATGTGCGGTGATGGGGTTGGAAGGCGGTCTTTCACCCAAGACATTTGTGCATGCTCAGACGACCGAAAGGCTCACGCGATGGTGGAATGTGGGGGCCACTGTGGGCAGGTGGGGCGGATGCGACGGGTGTATTTTGGGGTTTTGGGTGCTGGTTCACCAGTTTCAGAGCGGTGTATTCGCGAGCGACCAATCAGACCGACGAGTGATGCAAACGTGCCATATGTAACACAGTTTAAAAGTGCATGAGGTTAGAATTCAAAATATACAATAACTACGGGTATGCTAACGAGATTCTCCCTAAGCCTTAAACTATGGAGGCATTACAGGCCGTAAGTGGAAGTCACTAGCCATAGCGTACTATCCGCCTGAGCATGTAGCTCAGACCTATCCAAATATTTTCGAATAATTCCTTTGGACTCAACTGTGAAAAACTCGGCGCCTTGGAGGGAGTCGAACCAAGGTCAGCAAGGGGAGGCTTTAGTACAGCCAACGCTCTATAGCTGGGACCGGCTCCCAGTCACAGAAGGTACTGGCGTTGCATGCTCCCGTATGCCTATTCGTCAGACCCGAGAGCATCTTACCTAGCCGTTAGTGTCCTTTGAAGGCTGTTTCAGTATCCAACACTAGCGGACGCAATACGTGACTCATAGAGAGGCAGACCCAGTCATTCAGACTAGACTCCAGTGAATATCGCACAAATAAAAACAGACCCCTCTTTGGAATGAGCAAGAAGCGTGGTCAGACTTTTAGGGGTTAGTTTTCCCTTATGAATGACTTTCCAATATAATTATAAAGCTTGAAATTTAAGGGGTCTTTACATAGCCCTGACGCACTTTAGCTGAGCGCAAGTTATACAACAGGCGGCAACTAGTGACCGAAAATATTTATGGAGGGTCAACGACTGCGTTTTGACGGACCGGGATGGACGGGACAAGAAAACTAAACGAGAGCTCGTGAAAACACCAGATCAGCGTCGGGGAATACGAAGAAACACTTGAAAGAATAATTAGTGCAAAAAACGCGCAAACTAAGATAAAGAAGAATGAGGAATTAGTACTTACGCAAACTTGTTGTCGATGATCTTCTGTATAAACTTGATGATTGGCTCTATGTATTCACTAACGCGGGTCAATTTCGTCGCGTCTAACACCTACAAAAGATACAGGTTAGATCAGAGTTGCCGAAATGAGAATAAGCTGTGAAATCTGATATGCTAGTATTAAAAAATAACAGGTTTACGAACTGACCATGTGGTGGCTGCAGTTAACGAACATAATGGAAGACTGAGATCAATTCCCCCCCCCCCCCTCCAAGGATGGCAGCGCAGAGCAAAACTAACCAACAGCAAATGTCATTCGCCATTTACGGAAGTCCTCATGAATGGCGTAGACAGTCATAAACGGTGGTATTCATGGTGTTCAGTCTAACGATATCAGTTAGCCAACGGTGCACCTCAAGCCCAGAAAGGTAGCACGAATAAGCAGGTAAACGTAAACGACGAACAAATCGACCGTCGCAAACAACAATGTCCGCTGTGTGCTCCATAGCATGGTGAAGCAGGCACGGTGACTTCGGTGTGGATTCGTTTAGAGTAAGAGTAGACTTGAGCAGCATCTACCGGACTTTCCCGTCCTCCCCACCTGGGCCCGGTGTCAAGACAGTCAAGTAGACCGGAGGCGGGAGAGGGTGCAGGTGGATGGCACGGCCGGACCCGCACAGGCGTACCACTCCACACCCCTCGATCCACAACAGACGCGTGGCCATGGTTTTAACCCACAACGAAAACAACAGAAAGACGAGGACGACCGGCAACTATGCGCACCTGTATACCAGCGAGAGCGCAAGCGTAGCTACCGGCGTAGGAATCAGGTGCCCGATAACCGCCGGCTCACACCAGGCCGCGAGGGTCATGGTTTGCTGATCATGGCATAGCAGACGCTCGCAATCCAGAGGTCCAGAAGGCTGACACGCGGCCCTGCATTTTGCCTGGGCCATCACCCTAATCATCTGCACAATGAAGTATACAGACTTTCCTCCTAGAGAAGAGTCCGCATTCGACACGACAGTGTCGAAGGGATAATTTTTGAGACACAAGAAAGACGGCCAGAGTTTTGCACGGGTTTTGTCGGCCGCCCCATGACCTCAGTACTGCTACCCCAAAATAGACGTCACTATCTTAACGGAGGGGACGAAGATGTTGATTTAAAACCTGGCTCGACGCAGCTGGTTAAGAAACCGAGATGGGGCTTTGGTATTCGATCTTTGCCACAGGAGAACAAAGCGGATGGGGGCATCTGATCTCAGGCCACAGATCATTACGCGTGTAGGGGAACTACATGATGAAGATTGGGTAACAGGTAGAGTGGGCACGGCCACGGCAATAGCAAGTGCCGAAACAATCGAATCAGCCAGTTTTTGAGTCAACTTTCACCTAAAGAAACAAATTTGCGACCTGAAACTGTGCGAAAAAATAAGGATGCATCAACCCATTTTTGGAAAATTCAGCATATCCGCGAGACTAATGATGTTAAGTAGTTCTTTGTGAGTCGCTGGTGGGTCTTTTCTTGATAACACAGACCATTTCTGTTTTCGGGATAAATAATAAAATAAGCTCGTCTTATTAAAATAAAAGTGCATTAAACTTATGCAAAAAGTCTTATTTGGTGTGGTACCCCGAGACTTCCTGTGTAGGTACCGTCATGGTTTCGGTCATGTCAAAACTCTACACATCCATTACAAAATCCATGGTGTCTGAAAGGCAACGTGCCAAATATAATTAGCGACTTCCATCAATAACAGCGTACCCTGGATGTTGCGGGTTGGCTTGGCGCTCAATGCAGCAAACTTATTCGGTTTAACCCATAGACGTGGCATCAAGCTCCACTTAGGTGAACCTGACGGTATGGAGGCCCAGACTTCGCACCGGCAACAGACATAAGTTTGCGACAAATCTGATCGGTTAGGAATGATGAAAAATTTCTTGATCTGCTCATGACCTGTTCAAGAAATAAGCAACCGAGTCATTGCCTCTATAAGACGGAATAAGAGTATTTCGTCGTCCCTTAGATAATTCAATAAGCAGGAGATCAACCACGCCTATACCTGACGTACTCCCCGGATGACAGATGATCTCCACCGACGTGTGGTCGTACTTGCTGAAATTGCTCACAGAACAGGACGCGGGGAGACTATGTCATCATACGAGTATTGTAGAAAAAAACAATTTGTGTTTTCCCTCAGTCCTGTAGTGCGACCAGTTTTCCCCAGGGAGGTTACAGTTGGTCCGGTTGCTGGATGGCACTGTGACCAATCTAACGGTACTCACGCACACTCGCTCCTGTAAGTTAACTCCTTGTTGTTCATAATTTGTGATGCTTTAGACTCGGCTAACTAGCGTCCGTTCTGATGCTGGATGCGGTTATGAGAAAACTCGGGCCATGACCTTAGGCCGCAGATTCAGTGGCAATTGTGAATCAGTCGGGCAAGCGACCACGTAACAGACAACTTCGAAACAGTACTAACAGGATCAGATGAACTCCGGCATGCAGATTTCAGGCATTGGTTATTATTTAAGGCACATCTCCAGAGTCTCACTGACCGGCACTCGCGTGGCAGAAAAAAAGCGGCCCGATGAGACCTACATGGGAACTTTACTTTCGAGCGGAGCTAAGTCCATATCGATGTTAACTATTGTTGTTTAGCTAGCAAGTCCTGTCATGGTACTCTACTTGGGACTTAAAAGATCTCTCAAGCATGGAGTCTGGATGAATGAAAACACAATTAGGTTGGGTAAGACGGATAAGGCAGTGATTAAGAACTCAAAGTCCAGCAAAGAAGGCCAAACAGACGACATACATTCAAGGCTCGCATATCTGAGAGAAATTCTTCCTCAATTGCTCGCGGCAGCGCCTCGAAAATTTTGTTATCTGAGATAGTGGATCCATAATTGCTGTCCAAATAGTCAGCCAAAGCGTCTTGAGCACCTGTCAGAAGGCCGGTGAGGGAGGTACGGGCAGTAAGAAGCCGACGAATCCTATCTACCTCACGTCTTAGGTAGGCCCGTTGATCTGGTTCGGGGTGAACTTTTGATTTGGTTTCCAGGAGCTGCAGATACAAGTATAAGCACAGGTTGCAGCAAATCTCAGCCCTTCCGTAAGGAATTAACACGACAGTCTTAGAGTCAAAAGAAACTCTGTAATATGCCAGTAATATTTGCGGCACAGCATTAATTGATACACGCAGTCAACTGAGCGTATGCGATGAGAACTACTCATATAATAACATCCAAAGTACCTTGATTGAATTCCGAATGTCCTCTTTTACTTTGGGAATAGATGACGCCTCTTTAAAGTACTTCCCAACAAGGTAATTTTGCCGAGCCTTCCTAATTATCTGGAAAAGATGGGCTTTAAACGGAAACAGAATACCTTGTCGTCAATATCTGTGATATTCATTACGTAATTAATCTTAAACCCAAAATAGTCCGAAAGGACTCGCCGAAGAATGTCAAAAGAAATGTAAGATCTATTGAAAAGTTTTAAGACTGATTGAGGAAGTTAACCTTGCATGGCCCATATGAGCTGAGTCATAAACGGTTGGTCCACAACAGTACCAAGTTACGTTAGTTCCGTCCATTGGAATAAATGCATCCTGGAATACACTGAGTGGCAAAAGGGGAAACAAACCTTATTGTTTGAAAGACTGTTAAACAACTTCAGGGGCGGTAACTTAGCTTTCACCTTTGGTTGAGGTTGAACCCATTTCGGGCTCGTGCGCTTATCCATGCTGGCTATACAGAACAAAATGCACGCATCAACCTCAAGTAATGCTTACAAACCAAGGGAGGCGAGACCAGCAAAAGACGTGTGGAGTAATCTCAGCCGTCGAACCAAACCCTCGGCGATTGAGAGGCCGACCACCATGCAAAGGGCAGATTGCGCGTGGCAAAACCAAGTGTGAAGGTCGCGCTGTTAGGTCAGTAAACATCCGAGGCCATTGTTCAAGATAAGTTTATCCCGGAATTTGTATATTGTTTGATGTCTTGACATGTTTCTGTGAGAGTCTGAACGAATATCAAGCCTTTATTAAATATTTCAGAGTTCAGCAAAAATTCCAAAAGGTGAGAAAGAGCGTGACGAGAAAAGTGAAGAAAAGAAAACACTGTGACTTCATCACAGTAACGAAATAGGGAGTTCAAAGGCGTAAGCCTATTTCCCTCAAATACACTGAATGACTGACTGACTGACGAACGGGAATACGCCAGGGTTGCTTAATAGGTCTGGTTTCCCCGTGTCGATGGTATATTGCACCAGTCGTTTACGACCGACAGTAGTCGTGGGCCACGTATACAGGTCGGGAAAAGAGGCGAGATCACTTTGCTGCTTATGGGAGACGGGGCCGACTGTTGGATGGGAGGGAAGACTGTCGTTCAAATGGGTAGGTTTTAGGACGGCGGCCGAAAGGAAGGCATTATAAGTGAAATCGAGAACATCTGGGGAGGGGCTGATACTAAGGTAGGGGTGACTATAGAACCTAACACTAAGCTTTTACGCCGAATATAAATTGCACAGGCATGGTCTGGGAGTTAATCAAGTCCGAGCGCGACGGGCCAAAGGCTAACTGCGGTTTCAAAGATGTTAAAAGTCAGACTGGAATAGTTAATAACAAGCTGAAGGGTAATTTTATCGGAAATAGGGATACTAATACCGTTAGCGGTCCGTAAATGATGGGGCGTCGGTAGCGGCTGTATAAACTACGGACATTGATGAGGGAAGCATTGACGCCAGTTTCGACTAAGACGAACAATTACTGGTTGTCGAGTGTAAAGTTAATCGTAAGAGTCGGGGCGTACGATGGTTCACAAAGAGAAATAGTCTCCAGAAGAAAACATACGAGAGGGATTGTGGCGACAATGTCTAGCCTCGAGGCCAAATGCCACACAGTATTCATAGCCGGGGTTGTGTCGGGAAAACGGGTAGAGGGGTCTCCCAGTTGGGCAGTCGGACTTCGGAACGAACAGTCACCGATATGGGGACTGGGATCGTTCAAAGTTCATTGTGATATGCAGTACACAGTCGACACTGTTGTATCGCAGCGATGCAACTGGTAGTGGGTTGGGGTGGGAGGATATCAGTAGCGTTGAAGTCACGGAGTCCAGTTATGGTGGTTGGCGACGACCATCAACCTCAACTAAATATTGAAGGTCACGGCATAAATGTATATAGGGTTATTAAAGATCTGGGTGTATTATACTTGTGGCAGCCGCTACAGGCCACCTTTTCTCCGTCTCCGTTTTGTCGGTCGATGGCCACGACAAGCACTGACAGGCCGCTGACACGCGACCGCCCTCGCCGGCTAGAACTGGGAAACCTCCGGTCCAACTCCAGTGACTCCCGGCTGCCCTCACAAAATAGTATCACCTCACACACATCGGACGCTCTGACTTGATACCCATTGGGCCTTGTGAGTATGCGCCTTCCATTCCTCCCATAATTTGTCCAATCACACGACCAACACTCAGACAGTCATCCCCTTCTGCTGACCCAGACAATCACTTCCGCGTAAACAACACACCGCGACTGACGTTCTTCGGAAACTGACGCCTATCTCTGGTGCAAGTAAACAACCGACCTACGGCAACCTGACCTATGTACAGAATAAACTATTCCTCACAGCTCCCTGACTGCTGACATTAAACGAAACGAACTTATTGTGCGTGGTTCAAGTTGATCTCAAATCCTTGACTGGCACATATTCCAAGAATCTTAGTCTTTCGGAACACTGCGCCCTGATAGTCTCCAAAGCACGTAGAACGACCGGGTTTATCATCCAAAACTTTAGAACCAGCGATACTAAAATGCGCCTTTATGGCATGTACGTTAGACCTGGCCTGGAATACTGTTCGTCTATATTTAGCCTCATGCATGCTGCTGAAGGAAAGAAAATAGATTCCGTCCAACATTTTTTGTCAAGAGAGTTTTAAACCCGGAACACCGACATTTGTCGTACCCAGAACGTTTCCAGCTTACAGGCCTTGATCCTTTGTGGTTTCGTAGATTAAAAGGGAATTATTTTTACTATTCAAGATTTTATATAATCTTACCTTTAACCTGCTCACTACTTTAAGTCATCTTGTCCACCCCCGACGTAACAGTTACCGTGAGGTCTTTTTATTTCTTCCTCTGGCAAGTACCGTTAAATATCATCGGTTCTTTTCTGTGGTCACAATTGCTATTTGGAATAATTTACATAGGAATGTGAACGCTTTACAAAATTATCCTTAGTCTAAGATAACTATTACTGGCTTTCTGCATTCAGAAAAACTCCCACAAATTTCGGGCGCTGAATCCACCGATCGAATATACCGTAACTATGGCGCTCGTGGTCTCTGGTCCCATGGCCGGTCTCACCAGGAACAATTTCTCTAGACAAAAGCGACATCCGTTCTTCAGTGCTAATGTTTGGTCCAGTCCCTACTTCACGAAAAGAATTGGCGGCTGAAAATATCCTAAGCAGTGTTACCCCCCCCCCTTTCTTGCCTGTCGTCATTTCATGAGCAGCAGTTTTTTTCTCCTGAACCCTCTAAGCTATAGAAAAACACCATCATCTTTATTTTTTGTCAGGAATCTTTTTTCACTACTGGCTTGATTTGTGTTTAGGCTTTGCCTGACAAGGCCTGTTAACTGGCATTAAATTCTCTTATTATTATTATGATTATTATTATCATTGTGGAACGACAAATGATCAGGCTTGCCGCCGTCCGGTGAGGGGGGGGGAGTTTGGGAAATGTCAATGAGGCTAGTTGGAAGAGCTCGTTCCCAAACTAGTCGACTGACTGATTTCAAGTCTATTTTAACGTGGCGAACCGCTCGGCGACCAGTCCTGTGGAGGTCGACGTGTCAAACATCTGTAAAACCCTTCTACGCTCTACGTCGAACGACGGCGTTATGTTGATCCCGGCCTCGAAAACACGCTAAAGCACGGGGACGGAAAGAAATAGTGATAAATATCAGATGCGATGGACGATGTGGCTTTTAGTAGACATACATTTAATCCGCGAATCTAGTCACGTACATCGCTGCCTGGGTTGTACGGTTCCGGAGATAGTAATGGGCTGGGACTGACGGTGCAAGCGTAATCAATCGTACGGTTAGAAATTGGGTGCTGGAGAGTGGGGACATCGGGGGGGGGGGATATCAGTCAGTCAGTGCGTTTGGGGGCAATAGGCTTACGCCTTTGAACCCCCTATTTGTACATAAAAATCTATAAATAAGCAAAATGTGAAAAAATTACAGCATAAAGAGAATGCAGACAATGATTCACATATGTCACTGGTCTCATGGCTAAAAAGTCACATAGTCCGCTAGTTGCTGCAGCGTGTCTGTCAAGCCGACATTTAAATGTCGCCACAGATTTAGATATAACAACCGTCTCGTGCAGGTTATTCCACGGTTCAACGGCACGGTTGAAGAAGAAATATTTTCTCACATTCAATCTACCCTGGGGCACACGTAGCTTCAAGGGATGTCCTCGGAGGTTTGTTGTTGTGGCAAGTTGGAAAAAGTCATCGCACCGAAGGGCGCAGTCCAAGCCACGCACGATACGGACAGTTTGTATCAAGTCTCGCGCAAATGCCTATAACTCAGAGGATATAGATTAAGGTTAGTTAAGCGGATCTCGTATGGCAGTGCACTTTGACCTCTCGTTAATTTCGTTGCTCGCCTCTGCACCCATTCGAGCAAATTGTAATCCTGATGCGTCCATGGTATCCAGGCCTGAATTGCATATTCGAGATGGGGCCTTACAAACGTGCCGAAGACTTTGGAGAAGCACTCTTCATCGAAAACTACGAATGCCCGCTTGATGGCATATAGCATTGAAGTTGCGGCCTTGGCCGTCTACAACATTGTGTAGAAGGCTTTAGGCTGTCTACAACCCAGACTCCGAGATCTTTCTGCGTTTCTGCATCTCGAAGTGGTATTCCGTTCAGATGGTATTGCCGCGCACTAAGGGTCTGATTTCCGAGACACGGTATGGTACATTTGTTCAAATTGAAGGACAAGAGTCATCTGCGGGAACACTCGTCCAATCGACAAAGATTTTCTTAGAAGTTGGTCTCATCGGCAGCATTCTGGATGACTTTCTAGATTTTTATGTCATCCGTAAACATGGCACTATCACAGTCCAACCCATCTACACAATCATTGATGAATAAGAGAAAGAGGGTTGGTCCGAGCACTGAGCCTTGTGGGACTCCACTCTCTATGAATGTCCACATTGATTGCTGTCTTTCAACGCAGACAATTTGGGAGCGGCCGACGAGGAAGTTCTCGATCCATTTGAGAAGTTTGCCGCTGATGCCCATAATTCTCAACTTGTGAAAAAGGCGCTGGTGCGGGACACTGTCGAACGCCTTCCGGAAACCAATATAGTCCACATGCACAGTATGTTTGGCGTCCAGTGCTATTGTCCAACTTTGCATTGTACATAGCCAGTTCGTTACACATGATCTCCCCCTACGGAAACCATATTGTGCATTGGACGAGAGATTGTGATGATGATTTTCTCCATCACTTTGCAGCAGACTGATGTCAGACTGACGGGTCTGTAGTTCGTTGTAAGAGCACGACTACCGCTTTTGTAAAGGGGTGTAATGTGGGCCGTCTTCCAGTCTGTGGGGAGGATTCCAGCATCAAACGATTCCTGGCACAGAAAGGATAGTGATTTGGCCAGCTCTCGGGCAAGCTCGAGTAGCAGCTTTGCTGTGATCTCGTCCGGACCGGGAGATTTACATTCCTTCTAGCTTTTTAGTTCTTCCAAAATCGTTGCTTCTCGAAACACGATATCTTCGTTAGTGGGATCTCCTATGTTCTCGGAACAAGTGGGAATAAAGTTTGCTTCTCTAGTGAAATCGGATTGTAAA